GTGGGAGTAAAGTGTCTTGAAGCAGCTCGGGTCGATCTATCTAAAATGAGTCTGATCTCATGTAAGCATTCCGTTGAAATTACTATCATTTATTAGTAGAATTCTACTAGTATACTAATGCAAATGCTGTAATCTGATTGGTTGAGCCATTGAATACTATCAGCCATTAGTGTGCAGTGGCTGGAGGTCGTCTAGGAAATGGCGACGTTTTTTCCGTTTTTCCAAAGTTTTGGAGAAAAACTTTAATGCAAATGGATAATTAAATTCCTGAGAAGTCTAAACCAAGGACATTTAGGGTTTCTTGACTTTTAAAAAAGTTGAAATTATTGAAAAAATGATGCGCGCGCACACACAACTTCAATTTTAAATGACGATTCGATCCTTTTCAGGCGCAAATTAAAGTTTAATAATATGTCAAGAAATAATTGGAAACCATTATTTGAAGTAAATTTTAGTAAGAACTCTACCAAAACAATTAGATCAGTTATTCGCTCTCGATTTCTATGAGGAGATAGTTGTTTCGACCTTCGGCCTCATCAACTATCATCTCATAGAAATCTCGAGCTCATAATCTAATTGTTAATTAGATTACACAACTTAACTTACTTTCCTTGGCCACAAAAAGAACCTTTAAAATCATCCAGATCCAGAGCCCAGAACATGGCACCAAGGAGATTTTTTTCCCTTGATCAGAGTATTCACTTCCAATACCAAACTCACCTTGTCATCGAACCCCACCCACTGATCGCCAACGTATCCATACGGGGCTCTCACTGCATTGTCCTGTACCACTGTCAGACCCATCTCACATATCTCGTAATAGAACAGGAATCCTGCTTCTCTGGTGTACCTCCCAGGGGTAGCCTTTTCTGTGGTTGGTGCTCCAAGTCCATTTTGGCTAKGGTTGGATAGTTTGAACGCTCGACCATACGTAGCCAGTCCTAATGCAATTTTCTTGCCGGGCATACCCTATGAAGAAATGGTTTACCATCGCTACGCACTGCTCATGCAAGTTCTTTGTTTCTATAGTGATAGGCATCGTCCCAACTACACCGGAGAAATTTGAAAACGCAGCTTTATTTCTCCGGTCAGGCCTACAGTCCACACTAATCCACCACGAAAACGAAGCTTTTCGCAAACGCTCTTTAAACCGGACGAATTTGAAAACGCCGGCTTTTCGTTTTCGTGTGGACGGAAAACATTTTGAAAACGGAGCTTTTCCTTAACGACGGGCTCACGATAATCACGTGATTTCCCTGTCCGAGTTTTCCTCAGACACAAATCCAAAATGACCGGTGATTGTCGCGTTTTTAACTTCCTCCGGTGTAGTTTGGACGGAAAACAACTGATACGCTTTCAGAGTGAAAGCTCCGTTTTCAAATCCTCCGGCGTAGTGTGGACCGGGCCACAGGAGTACAACTGCTAGCTCGCTTACACGGTTTGTCTCTAAATGGGATTGTTTATAAACTGAGGGAAGACCAGCTAATATCAACGATATTTCTTACAAAGCAATACAATGATATTGAAGCGATCCCATGCTATTAACCTTATTGCTATGGCTACCTTATTCCAGCCAATACTGCACTGCGTACGAGACCGTCAATGTATCCCCTGGGCGACCCTCTAGTGCTGTATGGTGTCCAGTTGTTGGGTCCCAGCTTCCATGAAGATCATAGGCCATCAAATTAATAAAATCAAGTATTTCCGCCAATTTACTGACTTCGTGCGCTTTGTCAACTGTTCCCACGCCAGCGGCCACGGCTGCCGCCAGTAGGAGGCGCGGCTTTCCGCTTTCTGCCGACTCTTTCTTGAAAGCGGTCAATAACTCCTGGCAAAGGACCG